CTAATAGATAGATAGATAGATAGATAGACAGACAGACAGACAGACAGACAGACGGACGGACGGATGGACGAACGCATGGACAGACAGACAGTTAGACAGATGGATAGATGATGGATGGATGGATGGATGGATGTCCAGCTCTGGTCTATAGCTCTGTGTTTCTCAGAATGACATGCTCGGGTCATTAATAGTCATTTTGTAAACACAAGCGCGACTCTACTGGGAACATCAAGCGCCTCATTAAACCCCTCTGCTGCAGTTTGTAAATGGAGGCTTGCTCTGCCAGCGCTCTCCTGGAGGCGGCTTCCAGGCCCCAGCATTCTTGGGTCTGAGAGGTGAAGAGGGCCATGTTGCATTCGCTACGGTCAATTCATCCCACATGATGACTGGACGGGGTTTCCACCCTCTCGCCAGATTCAGGAGCCAGCTAGAGCCAATAAAACATTCAGTTAATATATTTTTAAAAAATAGCTTCACCAGCACACTCACATTTTGAAAATGTGTCTTGACTGAAAAACTGATACATTGCTGTAACAAATAGGGATGCATGATATTAGATTTTTGCCGATATCTGATATACCGATATTTTTTTATTTTATTATTATTTTGGCCGATAGCCAATGCCGATACAATATATATTTCCTTTTGTTTTGAAACAACACCAAGTCTCACCTGTGCGGAAATTATAAACAAATTATTTATAATTTTGGTTAGTTTTGTAGTTGAAACCTTAACAATTTATTTGTGGATTTAACATTAATAGATGGTCTAAAGCAAAAGAGCTGTAAAAATTCTAAAAATCTTTTAGAGCTCCTTATATTTAAGTTTTCATAATCCATTTGAAAAAATGTGACCCGTGCTGGCAAAATGAGTTTAATTTTGAGCTGCAGGCAAAAGAGTGAAAAATGAATTTGAGGTTTTCACAAAAATTAGTTCATTAAGCCCTCATCTAGCGATCCCAATGCTCCATATGGTTATTAAACATCTAAAATGATCTTTATTTGTACGTTTTCTGAGAGAAGTGCCTTTTCTCTGCTAGTTTCTCACACTGACTCTCATTTGAAGCGCCCGCATAAAGACGACACCGACGGCATGCGATCCCGATACATATGCACATAATTAAACAGCAACTATTTAAGTTAGAGCCCGACCGATATGGGTTTTTTGGGGGCCGATGCCGATACCGATATTAAGGAGTAAACAAGACCGGCTGGTAATCGAATGAACATGCAGAACATGAGGATTCGTATTTAAATAGGCTCATATAGGCCGATAATATCGGCAAAAAGATATATCGGTCGGGCTCTAATTTAAGTATTGCCAGAAACATAAACTATTATGTCTTAAGTGAATTTTTGGGGAACTGTTGGGGAAAAACATCGGATGTGTAACATTATATTACATTCGTGCATTAGAGCAAGTCTTAATATAGGCCGTCTGTCGCATTAACAATAATGTTAATCAAATGACAAAAGAAAAGAGGGAATCATTTGCTGCACTTGATTGAATTGCTTTTGTAGCTTTAATAATCAATTTATTTGTAATGAACACACTAAAGTGATTTTTTCCATTTGAATTTGTTTTTCTTACTTGAATGCTTTCATTTAGATGCAAAAAAAAAAAAGTAATACACTATACACTTATTTCTTTCTTATATTAGTTTTTTTTTTTACATCTGTTCTTATTTATAACAAACAAATAGCTATATTGTCATTAGATAGATAGATAGATAGATAATATTACTATATATACTATTAATATAGTAATGATTATTAAAGGGGTCATATGATGCTTTTTTAAAGATCATTATTTTGTGTCCCCCTCTCTCTCTCTCGCGCTCTCTCTCGCTCTCTCTCTCTCTCTCTCGCTCTCTCTCTCCCTCTCTCGCTCTCGCTCTCTCTCTCGCGCTCGCTTTCTCGCTCTCTCTCTCTCTCTCTCGCTCTCTCGCTCTCTCTCTCACGCTCGCTTTCTCGCTCTCTCGCTCGCGCGCTAGCGCACACGATGCGCAAAACTCCGCATTTGAGCGGTCAATAGCAAATACTTAAACTAATAACAAAACAGTCGCTGATTCAGAAGCGCCAGATT